TTGTTGAGGGCTAGGCCTTAACCACCTTTTGGCTATGAATGGATGCGGGATTTCATACAGTGAAGGATAAACAAGAATCCCGGTAATACAGAAGGATGATAATATGGGTAGGGTTAGTGGAAGCAGTGAGAAGTATCTTCCGCGAAGAAGAAAGCCAATGAAAGCTCGCACGTGCAATTAAAAAAATATATAAAAACGGAATCGGTGGATTAGCCTAATCGCAGGCAGTCACCAAGCTGAAGTCAATTTAACCATAATTGAAACACCAAGAACTTAAAAAGTACAACCATTAGAAACAAAACGGACGCGGAACATCTAAAATGCGTCGTGTAGAAAATAAAAATTAAGGAAAGCAGAGAATGCTAGTTAGTAGTCGGCCTTGGAGGTATTGTGTATGTTGAGGCAAACCTTCGCATCCCAGTTGTCTGTGTAGATTGAGAAGAAGAAAAAGTTGTGTCTATCACTGGAATCATAGTTTTATTAGTCTGAGTTTTCGAACTCCTGCGGGGGTCCATCGTCAGAGATAGGAAACAGCAACACGTTCAAACTTTTGTTTTATACACACGCCATAATTAGCCCCCCCATTTGTAACTGTTTCCTACCTTTGACGATGGACTCCCGTAGGAGTTCGGAAGCTCAGACTTATAAGACTATGATTCCGGTGATCGACACAGTATTATGTACGTCTTCGTGAACTAGTCTTAACCCTCAAAACTATTCTTAAAAAGTAATTCTTACCCCAAATATCCAACTCTCACACTCTTATCATAACCGTTAGTTCCTTACCCTACATCTAGTCGTATCTACTTACCTGCAATCCCTCACTGTAACTGTAGGCCCCGTAATCATAAGCCGAATGCTAAATTTAATCGTAGACCGGTGAGGAAAAGGTTCGGAAGGTTGTTGAAGTGTAGGCTTCCTGGCCGCATACCGTCACCTGTAGTCTTACTGCGTGAAACTAACCCAAACTATTAGGCAAATACCAAGTGAGTCCACAAATCCATGCGTTGCTCACCTTTTCAATACCTAGAGAATGTTGGCTTATTGCCTAAAAATTCTGCAACATGCTTGTACTGTAGCCGAAAATGTGTTGCAGGAATTATGAAACGCCTTTTGGGTACTCAACTTACCTTATCAAAATTAGTGGCCCCCATACCTTGTAGTAGGCTAAGAGGGCAAATTAGCCCGAGCGTGATAAAACTCCCGGCTTCTGGTGGGGCCTCGTTGCTCACTTCGCTAGAGCGTTGGCTGTGTTCAAGCCTCGCATTTGCTGTCATAGTTTCGAATCTCACCTAAACTATAGATTTTCTCAAAAATGGGTCAAGTGACCTATGCAAATCTGCAAAACCCCCTAGTAATAATTTACAAGGATTATTTTCTGCATTAAATCCCCTTTTTGATATCAGACTGCGCTTCATCGGCGTTTTACTGTAACGATCGGAGGTCTAAGACTCTTTTGTTGACGACCGGTTCGGCCTGGTGCCAGAGAGGCAAGAGAGCGATAGAGAGATCGAAGTCAACTCACTAATCAATCTGACGCGCAGGAGTCTATCATGGTGCGCTACAGGCCGTAGCTCACAGGACAGAGACATAAGCTGCAAGGGTTCCTTCTTACTGCCTCAATGGCCTCTACGACCGAGTTGAGATTCCAGCCGCTCCTCCCTCCCTTGGTTGTCTGTGCGAAATTCTGATCCATTGTGCGGGGACCAGGCATATGTGGCATGCGTATTCGGGCTATCACTCACTGCGTCCGACCCCGCCTCCGGTCTTCTTGACGCTTATGACAGAAGGCCCAGGTGGGTGCGGTAGATACTTTGAAAGTCACCGTTGATGTGCCCGCTCTGCTGTGGACCACGTGGTAGACATCATCGCAAAAGACGCTCGAATTGTTACGTGTAGACCTTCTCTCAATTTTCTGTTTAGTTTGATTGAATTGCTCTGTGGATTGTTTTATTGAACAGCACATGCATCTGGCGTTAGTGATAAGATTTGGGAAAGGATTCCATTTTGCCGACTGGCTAAGATTCTTGGT